CTCCATAAAGAAGGTGTTTGGGTGCCTCATGAACTCTCCCATGATCATCGTTTCCAACGTGTGAACGTTGCTTCGTCTCTTCTGGCCCGTAATGGACAGAATTGTCACCGGTGATGAAAAATGGATTCTCTAAGCAAATATTAAACTCTTAAAACAATGGCTCAGTCCTAGACAAAATCTATTTCTGACCCTAAAACCTGGACCATCTGCAGAAAGTGATGCTTTGCATTTGGTGGAACATCAAAGGAGTAATTCATTTCGAACTCCTCAATCTACAGCGAACTGTCAATGTAGAGGGATATATTCAGCAACTGGAACGTTTAACTCAAGCCCTTCATCAGAAACGCTCTTCACTCGTCAATCGGAAAGGTGTTCTTCATCTCCACGACAATGCACGTCCACATGTAGCACGTATGGCGCAACACAAGATTATGGAGTTGGGTTGGGAAGTTCTCCCCCACCCACCATATTCTCCAAATATGGCACCATCAGATTATCATCTTTTTCGTTCGCTGCAACACCATCTTAATGTGAATGTGGAAGGTGTTAAGGAGGACATCGACATGTTTTTTGCTTCAAAGTCAAGTGATTTCTTTAACCTGATTTTCAGCTGGAAAAGCATCATCGATAAGAATGGAGACTATTTCATTTAATAAATGTTTTGTTTTGATGTACAAACTGTTCAGATTTTTTCAAAAGCGACATTAATCTCTTGACGACTTAATATATCTGATGATCAATAGGTGGCACCACTTTCTGATGGATCACGCGCTATAAAATTGATTTAGTTATTCAAGAAAATAAAAATTACACCAACAAAAAGTCAAAAACAGGCATAGCAGATTTAAAAATATTTTAGTAGCAGAGCCCTTGAAAAATAAGTAAAATCAAAATATTTTACATATGTCTATTTGTTAAGGAATTAATAAATGCGAGCTGACGATTTTAACGTCTTGTCAACTTTCTTAGAGGAAAAACAAAACACCAAAAAAAGAAACCGTTTTAACTGACTAAAGTGTATAGTCTTCCATAATATATATAAAAAACTTTGCTTTGTCAGCCTCCAAAGATTTTTTTATTGCCCAATATTCTGTCTGCTCACTTCTTCAAACGTAGATTGTACAAACTAATTATATCAACTTGTTAAACTCTGTCGAATTGATTGAAACCTTATTAGTTCACTGTGGTTTTTACAAAGATGAATATTGAATTACAAATCATTTTATTGTTATACTAAGAGAATACGAATGTCCGAAATATATAAACGTATAATACATGAATAATAAATGTACAAACACCAGGTTGAAAATTTTCTTAATTTCGCTTTCAGTTTGAAGGATATGAAAACACTAAACTTCAATTGAATATATGTTTTGAAAATGTTCAGTTTAAAGAGAAAAGCACTATGACCCTTCCGATTTAAAATTAATTATGCATGTTTTTCAGCATTTGGATACCATTATTAGGATGCTACGTGCATCAACTGCTAAAGCACAAAACCTATAAAAGCGTAAAATATGTGACGAGTTAGAGAATGAAAACCAACTTATTTCGTATATCTCTTTTTGTTCAAGATCTGTAATCATCTGATTAAAAAGAACAACGCAAACCATTTGCATCTTCACTTGACCTTTCTCAAATTCTTTTTAAGAACGAAGGTGGTGGAAATGTTTACAGATAACGACAGTCCTATGATACACATTTGCCAATACATATTAAGTGACACGATAAATCCAGCAACCACACCCCACGTGACTAAAGCTATTCTTTTAAAACGTAAGATTAAGAACTAATATTATGAATCTTAAATAACAACTTGCACGTGTTTATCATTAGGCTTAGCTAATTTGTTACATGCATGTGTTTCTGAATATCAGATTATAACTACACAACTGGAATTCTAATTGCCTTACAAATAATATATAATACATATACTAAACACTCACTACATGTAACAACAACAACAAAAACTGCAACAATTAGCTGAGTACAACAGTTTTAAGCTTTATCAAATCTGTTAGTACAGCTAGTTCAATGTTCCTCAAGTAAACTTAACATGTTTATAACAACACCAAAAATAACTTATTTAACCATAAATTTGCCAATTGGGCCAACAGGAGCCCCATCGGTTTTTACGCACCAATTCCTTGTGGGTCCATGACTTTATTTATTACATGGTTCCTAATAAACTGAGAGTTAAATAATAACATTTAAACACAACTGCCATTAATATTGCAAATAATCCTACATTAGTACTGGAATACCTTATGTACTTTACACAGAAGAACGAATGGTTTCATATACGTTTTTATTCAATTATTTACATTAATCTTGTAAAAGGCAAAAACCTAAAATTACTGAATATGCAGACCTCACTGGCAGCGAACAGTATAAAAACATATTGGTAATTTAATGAACAAAACATTAGTGCCATGAGAAGTGAATGAAAAAAAACACAAAACTATTAAATTATGAACTGTTTCATAACTAGCTGTCTAGTAATAGTTTGTAAGAAGAAAATACAATCTTATTAATGAGTTCATCTCTTAAAAATAAAATACATTCAAGCTCTATAGATTGTACTTTTGGCCAGCAGGTGATTGCCTTCACCCAGATTGACTTGATAACTTATAGTTGAAAATAAAATACAATCAAGTTCTATAGATTGTACTTTTGCCAACGGGTGATTGCCTTTACCCAGATTGACTTGATAACTTATAGTTGAAAATAAAATACAATCAAGTTCTATAGATTGCACTTTACGTCAA